GGCCACTGCCGCAGGCTTTTTTTTTTTTTTTTTTTTTTGAGACAGAGTCTTGCTCTGTTGCCCAAGCTGGAGCGCAGTGGCTCGATCTCGGCTCACCGCAACCTCTGCCTCCTGGGTTCAAGAGATTCTCCTGCCTCAGCTTCCCAAGTAGCTGGAATTACAGGTGCCTGCCATCATGTCCGGCTAATTTTTTTATTTTAGTAGAGACTAAATAGTTCCACCATGTTGGCCAGGCTGATCTCAAACACTTGACTTCAGGTGATCCACCCACCTTGGCCTCCCAAAGTGCTGGGATTATAGGCATGAGCCATCACGTCCGGCCTGCTGCAGGCTCTTAAGTACCCCATCCCTGCTGCTCTGGCTGCTGTCCCCCACCCAGGCCTCTTCCCTTCAGTCAGCAACTATAGGGTTAACGTCTGGTGCAGCTGGTGAGCACACACATGCATGCACACACACTGCTCTGGCCCAGGGGCACGCTGTCCCAGTTGTTTATAATTTCAACTTCTAGTTTAGATTCGGGGGTACCTGTGCAGGTTTGTTACACGAATGTACTGCATGACGCTGAGGTTTGGAGGACGTATGATCCTGTCACTCAGGTAGTGAACACGGTACCCAATAGTTAGTTTTTCCACCCATGCCCTCCTCCCGCCCTCCCCCACCCATAGTTCCCAGTGTCTCCTGTTCCCATCTTTATGTCCCTGTCTCAGTCGCTGAATGTTGTGACTCTCACCCCTACCTGTAAGCTCCAGCATGATCCCAGCTCCACCTCGCCTGGCCTCTCGTGCTGTCTGCACTGCGCCCACTCTGGCCTTCCTTCAACCCTCTGCTCCTTTCCCTGCCTCTGGGGCTTTGCACAGGCTGCTTTCTAAGACCAGCATATTCTCCCTCGCTTCACCTCATTCGCCCCTGCTCCTCCCTCAGCTCAGCTGTTTCTTCCTCATGGTAGCCTTCTCTGACCTCTGACTCTAAGGAAGTCCTCTCATATACTCTCTGCCTTCCATTCATGGTTCCTAACATAGTTTTTGGTATGCATATCTGTTTATGTCATTATTTGATTAATAGCTGTCACTGCCAATAGACTACAGTTCAGAGTGGATAAGGACCATGATTTTAAAATGAAATTATTCTATTCCTTCAGCCCAGCTCTCCATATACATGTGGAAATGCACAGGAAGTACATTGGACACAGCCATCTAAAGTGCAAACAATAAATTTTAAAATTGGCATTCATATAGGGGGGCTCATGTATGCATGCATGTGTGTGTTCTTACATATAAATTTCTTCTTTCCTGTAGACATGGTAATGATAATGATGATAGAACATTAGTAGGCACAGTCTATGCAACAAGGAACTGCCCTGAATATTCAGACGTCTCTTATATAAGCCAAGAGTTCCTCTTTCTACACTACTTAATTACTTCCTATTATGGCAAACAGTATGCATTCTTTCCACAAAAACATACTATTTGAAAGTGTGTTACTTATGTAAGGATAAGTATTTGCCCTGTTACCACCACCACAGTCCATCAGCTCAGAAGATTCAAGCTGAAAGCAAATTATCTTGCCATGACCCCGGGACAACAGCTTGCTTTTATGCGTGTTTTAAAGAGCAGAAAGCTCTAGTAGCATTAAGAGGCTGGCCCTGTGCACATTAAGCAGATGCAGGATCGTCCCGCTGGGTGCACTCGTGGGTTTCATGCAGGCATGGGTTCAGTCACTGGAGTCCTTCCCCCACTACCAGGACTCTCCCACCAACAGCAAAACCAAACTGCCCTGTGCAACCAGAATGAGGTTCAGAGAACCCTGATCAGTTCCTTTCCAGGCGCAGTCACCCGCAGCTACCTGTCCTGCTCAGCCATAGACCATAAGACAGGGACCAACAGGGCCACATCTGGCAGCTGTGGGAATTAACCAGCAGCAAGGGGCTTTGCGCTCGATGCATCCTGTCTTTCGTTCCCTTCTGACACTCATTGCCTAACTTGCAGCAGTATCCTCTTTGAAAGAGAGGCCAGGCTTAGCCAGGGCTGCAGTCTTGAGTCTGAGGCAGGAGCCTCCCCTCAACCTCGAGCAGGGCTGACCGCCACTTGTCACTGGCGCTGAGCCGATCGGAAATGGTGTCAATAAAGTGCAAATAATGCCTCAGTGCTTGCTGCTCTCTGAGCCCAAAATGAACCGAAGAGGTGCTCTGAGGAGAGAAGGCAGAGTGACAAGGCAGTTACACCAAGGCCTCTCCAACGGGAGACCAATCAGGACATAGCTATTCCCCGGGTGGCATCAAAATCTTCCAATTTCACACAGAAAATGAGTCCTGGCTCAAGTCTCACACACGTTCAGTTGTCCCCATTTTAGCTGAATGGATTCCTTTGACAGCTAAAATCTTAACCCTTGGAAGGCCTCTGAAGGTGTGATTCACCTCCACTGAGAACTGCACTGCAGAGAAACACATCTGCAATTCTCCAGTCATAGCAAGAACAAAGAAGGCCTCCAGGTGTGCATCTCTACAAGCCCAAGAACACATCCCAGGTGGAGAGAGTGAGCAATCCCCCTGCCTATGGGGGGCTGGGGCAACACAGCTGGAGCCTGTGCAGCTGCTTTTGGAGGTGTGGTGCTAAGAAGGTCCCAGACCCTGTCTCCCGAACAACTCTCACACCAGGACCCTCACCCTGCCCCCAGACTTTGCTGCATCCACCTCTTGGCATCAAAAAATGGGCTCAGACTTTCAACCTGCTGTGTAAAGGTCAGCCTGAGCGGATGCTTGGTTACAACCACCACAATGTCCTTTGGGCTGTGGATATGTGGATGTTGGCATTTCTGGGTGGAGGGATGAGAAAAGGGGCGGAGGGCCTGGTCCCTCATCCAGTTTGCAAATTCCAGTCAGGTCCCCATACCTCACTTTCCCTCTAAAGTGCACTGCCAGAGGCTTTGCTTCCTATCACACACCTACTTCTGTTTCCTGTCACACACCACACTGCTCCATTCTCTCTGATCTTTTAGCTGTGAATTTCTGCCACTGCAAGACCATCTTAATCCAAATGGGGTCTCAGTCCTAGCAGTAGGGGCAGGTAGTACTTTGCATTTTATTTATTTATTTATTTACTTACTTATTTATTATTTATTTTTATTATTATTTTTTGAGACAGAGTTTCACTCTGTTGCCCAGGCTGGAATGCAGTGGCGCAATCTCAGCTCACTGCAATCTCCACCTCCTGGGTTCTAGCAATTCTTCTGCCTCAGCCTCCCAAGTAGCTAGGACTATAGGCGTGCATCACCATGCCCAGCTAATTTTAGTATTTTTAGTAGAGACAGGGCTTCACCATATTGGCCAGGCTAGTCTTGAACTCTTGACCTTGTGATCTGCCCACCTCGGCCTCCCTAAGTGCTGGGATTACAGGTGTGAGCCACCATGCCCAGTCTATTTTATTTTATTTTTGAGATGGAGTCTGGCTCTGTCACCCAGGCTGGAGTACAATGGCATGATCTGGGCTCACTGCAACCTCTGCCTCCTGGGTTCAAGCAATTCTCCTGTCTCAGCCTCCCAAGTAGCTGGGATTACAGGCACGCACCACCACGCCCAGCTAATTTTTGTATTTTTAATAGAGATGGGGTTTCTCCACGTTGGCCAGGCTGGTCTCAAACGCCTGACCTCAGGTGATCTGCCCGCCTCAGCCTCCCAGAGTGCTGGGATTACAGGTGTGAGCCACTGCACCAGACGGTATTTTGCATTTTAAACAGGGGCAGGAAGGGTAGGGAAACTGTAGATGAGGGGGTAGGACAGAGGCATGTGGCCCATGGAAAAGTTAACCTACATTCAGAAAATCTGGCCCTGCTAGCTTGGAAAAGTCATACAAGCCACTAAAGTACAGAGGAACCATGAAGACATTATGCTAAATAAAAGAAGTCAGTCACAAAAGTACAAATATAGCAGGATTCTGCTTCTGTGAGGTCCCTATAATAATTCCTAGAGATTGGAAGTTGAAGGGTGGTCATCAGGGGCTGGGGAGTAGTTGGAAATGAAGCGTAAGTGTTTAAAGAGTACAGAGTTTCAGTTTTGCAACATGAAAAGAGTTCTGGAGATGGATGATGGTTACAGGATAATATGAATGGACTTAATCCCATTGAACCGTATGCCGAAAAATGGTTAAGACAGGAAATTCTATGCTGTATATTTTACCACAATTAAGAACACATTTTTAATGGCTAAGATGGTTTTAAAAAGGTCGCAATGGATAAGTGTATTCTAAATTAGAAACAATTAGCATGTGTAACTAAACAACTTAATTGGCAGGCAAGTATCTACAAACAAACAAAACCTGTCACCAATCCACAAGCCCAAACCGCACACCTGTTCCCTTCCTGGAGGGTCATTTCCTCTCTATTCAGTCAGTTCCTGGATCTTTGGCTCCAAGCCTGAGTCTCTGCCCTCCAACCCAACCCGAACACATTTTGTTTCCTAGCCAGCCCCTCCTGAAGCTAAGGCTCAGCTGTGTCACTCAGGAGCCCTGGAGTGCCAGCCTCTGTGCCAGCCCCGCCACCCTCAACCCAAGCCCACCTGCCTTTGTCAGCACCTGACCAAAGCGGGGCCTCGTTCCCCGACTTTCTTCTCAGGCTAGCCGAGAACCCACACAGACTGCCGGTGGACAAAGGAGACTGAACGTCCCTACTGACACAGTATCTTTCAAAGGCTCTTCCTCCTGCCCCAATTCAAAGGCCACATATTCTAAGACAACAGCAGGGACTGACTGGAACTTCTAAGCGAGGAGACTGCAGGGGATCTATGCGGGCCTCGCCCACACTGTTCAGGCATCAGCACTTCTCTGTGGGGCCCTGGGCCACGGCAGAAGTGGAAACAGCAAGGTTAGGGCCTTCCGCAGGCAGAAGCCATGGGGGAGTTTTGAGGCCACTGGGAAAAGGTTAATAGAGGCAGTTTCAAAGCTCTCAGGAAATGGCATCAGGCAAGAGCTACTTTTCAGAGACAACAGGCCTGCCTCCATCCCGCTTACCTGGTTACAGGTGTTAATGTCTACCCCATTCCGCAGGTGATCCAAAGCTTTGTCCAAGTTACCTGATCTTGCTGCTCTCAGAAAGCTGGTAGCAGCATCGGCCTGTGAGGAAAAACAACAGGCATTCAGTGTCCTGGGTATATTAATGACTTCTCCGCCCCATTCAAGCCCCAGGCCCCTGCAGAAGCCCCTGCATCCTCTGATGTGGCACCCTGGTGCCCACAGTGACACCAGGTGTGCACAGGAGCCCTAGAGCCCCTGGTTGGACTGTTCTTGGGGTGAACTGCCTTCACACCCAGGCCTCCTTTCCTGTGGTTTTTTGTTTTTGTTTTTTTAAGAGAGTCTTACTCTGTCACCCAGGCTGCTGGAGTGCAATGGCACAAGCACAGTTCGCTGCAGCCTTGAATTCCTGGGCTCAAGAGATCCTCCCAAGTAGCTGGGACTACAGGTGTGCACCACCATGCCCAATTATTTTTTTTAAACTTTTTTATAGAGACAGGGCATCACTATGTTGCTCAGGCTGGTCTCAAACTCCTGAGCTCAAGCGATCCTTCCACCTTGGTCTCCCAAAGTGTTGGGATTACAGGCCTGAGCCACCGTGCCTGGTCCCCTTTCGGTATTTTTATAACCAAATGTTCTTGGTTTGGACTCAGGAAGAATCAGCCTTTGAGAGGGAGCCCATTCCAATGGCAAGCGCACAGCACAGCCTGGTGTCTCCTTGCTCTGAGGTTTCGGGGGCTCCAGTCTTGCTGAAGAGTTTGCAATATCACAGAGGTCCCTGGCCCCAAGAGTCATGAATGCAGGCACCAAAGGAACCAAGCCTGGGCTCTTTGGAACTGTTTTGTGTTTTTATTTGCCTGTTTTTCCTTTTTAGAGATGGGGTCTCACTATGTTCCCCAGGCTGGTCTCGAACTCCTGGGCCCAAGCAATCCTCCTGTCCCGGCCTCTGAAAGTGCTGGGATTACAGGCATGAGCTACCATGCCCGGCCCTGTGTTTTTGTTTTTTAAGTAAACAGCACATAGCACTTACTATGTGTTAAGAACCATTATTAGCACTTTACATATACAGTCAAACCCATTTATTCAACCAACCGTGGATGGAAAATTTGCAGGAAAAGAAAATAAAAATAACGATACTAAAATAAAAAGGAATACTAACAGAAGGCCGGGTGTGGTGGCTCACGCCTGTAATGCCAGCACTTTGGGAGGCCGAAGCAGGTGGATCACGAGGTCAAGAGACTGAGACAATTCTGGCCACCATGGTGAAACCCCATCTCTACTAAAAATACAAAAATTAGCTGGGCGTGGTGATGTGCGCCTGTAGTCCCAGCTACTCAGGAGGCTGAGGCAGGAGAATCACTTGAACCTGGGAGGTGGAGGTTGCAGTGAGCCAAGATCGCACCACTGCACTCCAGCCTGGTGACAAAGCAAGACTCTGTCTCAAAAAAAAAAAAAAAAAAAAGTAATACAGAAAAGCAATGCTGTATAACAATTATTTACAAAACACTTACATTAGGTATTATAAGTAATCTAGAGATTATTTAAAGTATATATGAGGATGTGGGTAGGTTATATGCAAACACATTATCACTTTATATGAGGAACTTGAGGAATCTGTGGATTTTGGTATCTGCAGTGGGTCCTGGAACAAATCTCCCACGGATACCAAAGGATGACAATAATATATATTCACACACATGCACACGCACACATGTGCATTTTATCCTAATTTTAAATACCCAAGAGGTAAGTAGGATTGCAGAGTCCCATTTTACAGATGAGTGGGCTGAGGCACAGAGAGCAGAAGTGCCTCGTGCAGCATCCCACAGCAGGGAGGAGGCACAGCTGGGACTCAGATGCAGGCAGTGTGACTCCAAAATTCATGAGCTGAACCTCCCAGCTCTGCAGCCAGCTTGGTCTCAGCTTTAACACCGGGTGCCGCCCACCAGATTTATTGAATGAGAGTGAAGCCTTTCTGTTCCTTAGCTGGTGCTACGTCACCCACCCCATGCAGCTCAGACCCTGCCCCCAGGAACATCTGTTTGCTTTAAAGATGAGTGACAGCCAGAGAGGGTGAGAGCTGAGGACAATAAAATAAAGTTTACTAATTGATATGGTTTGGCTGTGTTCCCACCTAAATCTCATCTTGAATTGTAGCTCCCATAATTCCCACATGTCCTGGGAGGGACCTGGTGGGAGGTACTTGAATCATGGGGGCTGGTTTTTCCCATGCTGTTCTCATGATAGTGAATAAGTCTCATGAGATCTGATAGTTTTATAAAGAAGAGATCCCCTGCACATACTTTCTTGCCTGCTGCCATGTAAGACATGCCTTTGCTCTTCCTTCATCTTTTGCCATGATTGTGAGGCCTCCCCAGCCATGTTGAACTATCAGTCCATTAAACCTCTTTCCTTTATAAATTACCCAGTCACGAGTACATCTTTATTAGCAGTGTGAGAACAGGCTAACACACTCACAAAGACAAATGTAATGATTAAAGTCCAGTCCTCAGGCATTGGAGCTGGTGGCCTAGACTCAGAGCCACTCCACTGGGTCTAGCTGAGTGCCCTCGGGTACTTAGACATCCTCGGCTTCTATTTCCTTATCTGTAAGCTGGGGAGAGTAAAGCCTTTCTTGTCCCCTTTTCATAATGCTTAAAGGAAATAAATAGTGCTTGGCGCATAGTTGCATACAAGGCTGAGTTGAAGGCGTGCGAGTGGTCATGTGACAAACCACAAATGGGAGAAGCATGTGACGCCATTCCCACAGAAGACCCACAGTGGCTTCCTCTCCACCCAGGCACTTTGTATCCTTCCTCTACGTGCCCTCCTAAAAAAAAAAAAAAACATGCTGCAGTGGGCTGAATGGTGTCCCCCAAAAGATACGTCCGCACTCTCATCCCTGGAACCTGTGAAGGTGACCTTATTTGAAAAACAAGTCTTTGTAGATGTAGTTAAGTCATGGATCTTGAGATGAGATCATCCTAGATTATCTTGGCTGGCCCTAAATTCAATGACAAATGTCCTTATAAAAGACAGAAAAGGAGAAGACACACATGCACACACGTACACATGCACACACACAGACATGCATGCACATATATGTGCATGCACACATGCACACACACAGATGAACATGCACACACAGATGCACACACACACACAGATTTGCACACATACAGATGCATGCACACACATGCACACCAAGAGATGCACACATACACATACACACACGCACAGACACACACACACATGCACACATACACGTGCACACAGAGACCCATGTGCACACACACACATGTGCGGACATACACATATACACATGTGCACACACATGTATGCACACACACAGAGGTGAAGCTATGTGAAGACAGAGCCAGAGACTGGAGTGTCTTTAGCCATGCACAAGGAAGCAAGGAACCTCTGGGAGGTGGAGGCTCATGGAAGAGGACCCTGAAGCCCTGGAGGGAGTGTGACCCTGTGGAGGCCTTGATGTAGACCTCCAGCCTCCAGATGTTGAGAGAACACATCTCTGTAGTGTTAAGCCACTAAGTGTGTGGTGATTTGTTACAGCAGACATGGGAAACTCATGCACACACTAGTGATGACCACCCTTGAACACCCTTGAACACAGAAGACTCCAAATCTACAGCCGAAGACCAAATAGAACTCTCATCCTCCTCCCCAAAGCAGCGCTTCACGTCTTCACCATTGAAACAGGGAGTCCCCAGGGTGTTAGCAGTAGGGCTCTCCAGCCTTCCAGACAGGGGTCCTCCCTCCACATTCAAGTGCTGCCCCACACCACCCGCCAACCCCGCCCACAACCCCGGGCCTGCAGAAGTACCGCTTCCTCCCTCTGCCTCCCAGCCAACCTCCTCCATCCCTGCCTCACTGGTCTTCCCCAAATCCTGACTTCCTGCCAGCCCTTCCCAACCTCGGGTCCCACATGGGCCCTCTATGATGTAAGCTCAAGTTCAAGTACAAGCCCTGTGGCTGCCTGCTCATAAAGCACACTCATCTCGTTGTCCCCACGGTGGCAGGAGCCCCTTCTCACCTCCCTTGTCCTCTGTGACATTCCCATGCTCTGTCTACCTCCTGGCCTGCACGTTCCTCCTCCCTGGGCCCTGAAGCTGTGTCTCCCTCTGGTTTGCTAATTCCAATCCTTCTTCTGTTCAAGGCCCCGATGGTGGCTACTTCCTGCATGAATGACACTATGCTTAGACACTCAGTATTTCATCTTTAAATCTAGAAACCACAAAACAGGAGCTTGGTTGTTTTTTTTTTTTTAATGCACTTAAAATATCTCTTTCTCTAGCTATTTAATTCAGGCAAGTCTTGTCTCCCCAGCCAAACTGTTTGCTTCTTGGGGCAGCGACCAAGTCTTCTATCTCTTTTGAATCCTCCAGAGCATTAAGTGTCTGCTAGGGCGAGGCCTCCCTTGACCTAAAGCACATGACATTCACATCCCAGGTTCCTCAGCAAGGCATCTGTGGGGCAGGAAATATTTCAGAAATGAAGATCAAACTGTTGGCTCTCTAGGCATGAGCTGGGTTTCCAGAGAAAACCCAGTCAAGGTTTAGTCTCTCAGATAAATGTCTATTTATGCCTGCTGATTCAGAAAGTCTGTCTAGATTCAATTACTAGGAAAAACACTATATTATTCCCCAAGAATAAGAGTGTTAAAGAGACATTTCTCCCACCAATTAACTACCATTTATGGCACAATAATAGGATTCAGGCTGAAAACCTGAGAATGGGTGGATAAAAATAGACGCAATATCCGCTAATGACACTGTTTGACTGTTCAAAGCACTGAATCCAGGAAGCAAAGAAGAATATTTATGACAAACTGGCTGGGCGCGGTGGTTCCTGTAATCTCAGCACTTTGGGAGGCTGAGGCGGGTGGATCACTTGAGGCCAGGAGTTAGAGACCAGCCTGGTCAACATGGTGAAACCCAATCTCTACTAAAAATACAAAAAGTAGCTGGGCATGGTGGTGCGTGCCTGTAATCCCAGCTACTTGGGAGGGTGAGGCAGGAGAATCACTTGGACCTAGGAGGCAGAGTTTGCAGTGAGCTGAGATTGCGACACTGCACTCCAGC